CGGACGAAGCTTCGTCCTCGGTTTATCGGACCGTTTAAGGTTGTGGCCAAACGGGGCCTGGCGTACACACTGAACCTTCCGAAACGGATGCGCACCCGTGTCTTACGTGGACTTGCTCAAGCCGTACCGGGATCCGGAGCAAGTGAACGAGGAAGCGTTGGCGCCGGAGCGGATCCCACGGGCCCGTGGCCACCCAGAAGCTGAGCCAGCAACTGGTTATGAGCACAGAGTGCAACATCCTCCATTTCTAATGGAGCCAAGCGCTCCACCGTTGCCTGCAGCGATGCATTCACCTGCTCCGCGGGTAGAAGTCGCTCCGACAGAGCGCAGTAGTCCTTAAGGTGAGGCGACCGGCGCATGACGTGTTTTAAATCGTCAAGAGCGTCCACACAGCGACATGCTACTTCAGCATGACGCTCAAACGGAGCTCCGATTACGAAGGACCTTGTCCTCAAGGGCTCCAAGAGCATCACGAGTCGCCGGACGGCGATCGACCCATTCGTCACCGCCCGCCACCAACTTTTCTCGATGAGAACGGTGACGTTCACTATCACGTGGAACGTCTAGTGAGACAACGTCGTCACCAGGGTCAGACCCAATATCTGGTGAAGTGGCGGGGATATCCAGACTTCAAGAATTCGTGGGAGTTTGAGGCGTTACTTCGGCAAGATTGCTCAGTCGCCGTGGACGTTTTTAATCGGAAAGATCAAGACATCCCGCGTCATCAGACGCCCCGCGCTTCCCGGCAATAGCCAGGGAAGTAGACGGGGCATGAGCTGAGCTCAAGCAGTGGTCCTGAGCTCTTGCGGTCGAAGACACAGAGCTCCCGTGAGCATTAGGGACTGTTAACCCATACGTCGCAGGGCGACAATTCGAAGGAAGGAAGTTTGGCAAACTCAAAGCGGAGGTGTCACTCCACACGCACGTCCACTTCCTTTTGGCTCAACTGCAGGTTATGGAGTGAGGAAAGTTTTCGGTGCCGTTGCACCCATCGCTCAAAGAACGCTTCGTCGTCTGTAGTGCATTCGCCAGGGGCGAGCACTACAGGTATTGTCCGCATTGTGTGTACACGAAAGCCACCTCGTTGAGCACTCAGACGAGTGCGGTAATCGTTTAACGGAATTTCTTGTGGGACCAAAAAACGAGCTCGAAGAGCTTTCCGTGTGGCAAGTTCACATCCGTTTTGGCCGGGCGTCCGATGATGTGGACGCGTAACGATCGAGTTAGCGCGTCCTTCGCTTCCAAAGCGGGATCCGCAGGAGCGTAAGCCATATTCCACACGAGGATCAATGACCGACCGTGAATGGGCGCGCTTTTGAGCCGCTCTATGGGCAGCTTCAAGCTGCCGCCTCTGTTCCCTGTCGAGGTCATTGATAAGTACACCACGTTCCTCAGTTGACGAAAAGTCAGGGAACGGACATGGGGCCCGCAAGGCGCGAGCAGGGCTCGTATCACGCTGCTGCTGCAGCTCGCCTTCCTCGTCATCCTATGCGGGAAAAGAGTTGTTGGACTCATAGTCGACTACATCTTCAACGAGGCCACTCGGCACTGAGAGCGTGCGCGGAGCGCGACGTTTGTGCTCATCGAGCCTAGGATATACATCCCCCGGTG